CACTCTTTCTCCATAATTTGCTGGCACGTGAAAAATAAAAACAGGTTTTACTTACCTTTAGTCTAATTATTATTCGGGAAGGGGTACAAGTTTAGAGACTGAAAATTTCTTGATTAGGGGCCAAAGCAAGACAAATGACAGTTGAGTCACCACCTTTTCCAGGCATTGTGAATTTAAAGATGAATGAGTCCCATCCAGCCTCTGCCTTTCACTGTCACGCAATGGCTTCTATAATAGAACTATATCTGAAGGAGTATTTACTTGGCAAAAATGCATCCTGGATGGCTTCTGGGGAAAATGATGTTACCATGGGCCTTAGACATTATATGCAATGCTCGGGTGAGCAAGCAGTGAGAACCTTTAGAAACCACTCTAAGCAGGAGGATTGGCTCTAACAAAGGATCCTTAAAGTGACCCCACAGAATGCTTATAACCTGCCAGCTCCTCCAATCTCATTTAACTCTCTCTAATCTCAGGTTGAACTGCAGAAGGGAATTTTCTTAAATGATGTCTTTGATGATTACATTTCCTTTTGCTCTTTTTCTGGGCAGTTCTCTATGCTGATGTTGAATCCCCCACATTGGTTCTCTTATTGCTTTTTCTTTTCTGCCTTTCTTCTCTTTCTTTTTTCATCCATCTTATAGGAAGTTTTCCCAACTTTCTTTTGTAGTCCTTCATAGGAATTTTTCACTTCATTGCCATCTATTTTCCTCTATCTCATTCCAATTGCTCTTCTCCACTAGCAAACATATTCTTGTGTGTTTAATTGTTGTGTTTGTATATGTTCATACAATATGTATTCTTATTTTGGGTCCACCTATTTTTAATTTATATAAAGGTTATTGTGATATACATACAGATGTCCCTATCATCAGAGGATTGGTTCCAGGACACCCAACCCCCCCCCCCCGGTAGGAGGTTTGGTTCAGGGCCCCCCCCCCCCCCCCCCCGTGAATATCAAAATTCTTGGATGCCCAAGTCCCTTATATAAAATGGTATAATATCTCATATAACCTACATATATCCTCCATATACTTTAAATCATCTCTAGATTACTTATAATTCCTAATACATTATAAAAGTGGCCATACTGCATTGTTTTATTTGTATTAAGTATTACCATTATTTTTAAAGACAGATTTTTGCTATAGGGCACATGTGCTCACCAGAGAGACAGAGAGAGGCAGAAAGACAGAAAGTGAGAATCACCCTCTTGGGATTTTGGGTGTGCATGCACATGTACCTGGCATGAGTTTTAAGTCACCAGGTCTGGAACTCAAACTGTGATTGACCATGTGGGAGTCCAACAATGTAACCATTACGCCATCTGCTGGTCCCGGTTTTGTGCTTTTTCTTTTTTTTTTTTTTTTTTTTTTTTTTTTTTAATTTGAGAAGGGTTGGCACCACAAAGCCCATGTGCAGAATACATATACATATATTCTTATCTTCATCTCTACTTTAAAAAAAAAAATTACCAGAGAGAATATGCACTCACCAGAGAGAGAAGACGAGAGAAAGCAAGAAAGCACCCCTTGTAGGGGATACAAGCTGCAATCTCTTTTCCTACATTTATCCCTTGGGATTTTGAGCACACACACACACACACACACCTCTAGTATGTTTCTCACGCTGCCAGGTCTGGGACTCAAACTGTGTGGTCGGCCAAATGGGATCCAGTCACACTACTGGCAGGCCCTCTCCTTTCTTCCTTTTTTTTTTTTGAGAGATTTTCGCTATAGGGCGGGTGCGCTCCCCAGACAGACGGAGAGAGACAGAGAGACAGAAAGCAAGAAATCACCCCCCAGGGGGGATGGATGGTCACGCCGCAATCCCTTTTCCTCCATTCTCCTCTCGGTATCTTAGGCACGCACGCACAGGCGCCTGGCGTGAGTTTCAAGCCACCGGGTCCGGCACGCGAACCGCGGTCGACTACGTGGGAGTCCAGCGACATAGCCATTACGCTAACTGCTGGTTCCCTCTCTTCACTTCTGATTGCTCTCTCATTCTCCTTCCATATGATCAGTGTGTTACCTAAATACATTATCCTGTTAGTTTTCTGTAGTGTTGTAACAAATTACCATAAACTTGACACTTAAAGCCACACAGCCCAGCAGGTCAAATTTCAATGTCAGTTCGCAGAGCCAAAGTCAAATGTCAGCAGGATCAGACACTCCCTTCTGGAAGTTCTAGGGAAGACTGTTTTTTTGCCTCCTGCAACTTCCGGTGACTATTTGCATTCTTTGTGCCAATGTTGCTGGAATCTCTGTGTTCAGTTTGCCTCCTCCCTACTGAGTACGTAGTCTTCCCTTGCCAATTCCTTATGAGGATACTCTGATGGTATGTAGGGCCCACCCAATAACCCAGGATAATCTCATCTCAAAATCTTCAATTTAATCACATCTACACAGATTTTTTTTTTTTAAATAAGGTAATATTTACAGGTTCCATGGATTAGAATGTGCACATATTTTTGGGAACCATTATCAGCCTATCATAATTATCTATTCATAGTTTTATATGCTCATTTAGAAATATATACACATAGGTAACCTTTTTTTCTTTACAAACAAAAAGTGAAATAGTATGTCCTATGTGCAAATGCTACCTCCTCAGAGAAATTCATTCATCTTCTTATATACAAAATACAGTACAATCACCTTTGTCCCTTTACTCATCTTTATTTTTTTCCTGACATTGGTGTCAGTCAGAATTACCTGTTGCTAACAAAAGAAACAACTTTGGTTAGTTTCAGCAAAAAATGAATTTATCATAGACTATTAGGTAGTACATAGAATCATTAGAAGGATCATGCACACCATTTAGAGGCTAAGTGCCTAAAATCACACCACCAAGGGCCAGTACATATGCCACTGCAACACTACTGGACATACATCAGCAGCATGTGCCACTGATGGCACTGGAGCTGGGCATAAGACACTATAGTTAGAACCTCATATATTCTCCAGAAAGTTGCCACCCTTACCAGATGGGATCTGAGGTAGTGCTAGCTTCTTCCACTCACTTGCTTCCATCACATACCAAGAGTTGGCATATTTGAAGTCAGGTAGTGAAAATTATCTAAATTTGTTCTTTATTTTTCAAGAGTGCTTTGAATATTTTAGATACTTTGGATTTCTACAGAAATGTCAGAATCAATTCTCAATGTCTCCAAAACACCTAGTGAGATTGTTATTGGGATTTAAAATTTTTCTCTCTAGGTCAAGTTGAGGAGAATCGACATCTAATTAGTATCAAGCCTATCGATGAACATAGTATAGCTATGTAGATCTTTAATTTTTTTATAAATGTAGATTTTCATCATAGAGGTATTGCAGGCCTTATGTTACATTTATTTCTAAATATCTTATTTTCAAAGATTTTTAAATTTCCAGACACTTACAGATTGTATATGAATTAACTGTTATATTAACCTTATATCCTACAACATTGCTAAATTCTCTTATAGTTCTACCAGTTGTTTATTTATAGAGTCTTTTAGGTTTTCTACATAAACATCATGTCATCTGTAGAGTTGTACTTCTTTTCTGAAATATATGCTTTTGTTTCTTTCTATTACTTTACTGCACTGACTAGAATGACAAGTAAATTTTTGAATAAATGTGTTGAAAATGGAGATTTCCAGAATTGGCATTTGGCATGGTGGTAGAAGTGTTGGACTCCCATAACTGTGGTTTAAGTCCTAATTGTGGTAGCTTGAAATTCTCACCAAGTGCATGTGCATGCGTCCCCAAGGTTCTGAGAGGAGAAGGGATTGCAGTATGGCCGTCCACCCCGGAATTAAGATTCCCCACTTTGTTTCTTATCTCAAGTGGAAAACATTTGTATGAGAACTTCCATTATGAAGTATCAGATTAGTTGTGTGTTTTTCATGGATGCCTATCATCAGAGTAAGGAAATTCCCTTCTTTTCCTAATGATTGAGAAAGTTTAACAGGAATTAGGGTTGATTTTGCCAGATGGCACTTTTGCATTTATTGTAAATGGGTTTCTTTATTCTGTTAA